CTACTGCAAATGTGCCTCTGGCCAGACAGGCCAGGGGAAGGGGCTCATGTGTGGAGGTCTTAGCACAGAATCACTCTCACAGCACAGCACCAGTGCCACCGGTTTCACGCGTCACTTGCCTTTAGACAATCCGCGCAGGAGCATGTCTTCCTTACAAATTACTGCCCAACTCACAGTGTGCTAACTAACATCCGAACAGTAGTGTCTTTGATGGCACAGAGCAATTTAGGTATTGCTATAAGCTATGCTACTACACTGAACCAGAGAGCGTGGTGCTAGAGGAGGGTGAAGGATTGTGCAGAAGAGATATAATTAATATTTGTTGGAATGTCCTTTTTGGTCTTCGCTCTCTGTGTTATTTGCTAGAGACTAAAACTGAGCTAGTAACAAGATGTCATGGGACAAAAACCTTTTGGATCAAGTGAAAATATTACATTGTTAAAATCAGAATGGGTCCCTTCTGAGGTTAGAGAGGAATGTGAGTTTCACAATTTCTTTTTTTAACAATCAGCAGACAGCCAGCTAAATCGTACTCATAAAATACCAATCCAGTTTGGATCTGTCACAAAAATGAAGCATTTAATTGCTGCTAGAAGTGACAAAGATAAGCTATTCTCATTCCCACACCAAGGGCAGGGGCATCTGTCAGAAAACACAGACCTTATTTTGGTAGGTTTTTGTCTGTTACATGCATGAATTCAATTATAGGTAAAAAACCAATGCATGTGACATGACAAAGTAAAAGTTTGAATGATAATTAAGAATCCAGCCTCCTCCAAACCTGGCATGAAAAGCAGGTAGCAGAAGTTTGATTTAAGAGAAATTCTTTCCCAGCAGGTTTCCCCCCATGTACATACTCTGTTTTACTTCCATATGGAGTCTGTAAAAAAAATAAAGTTCAGTGGTTCACAAAGGTCTATTGTGACCTTTTAAAATAAAACAACAATGCACTGCTACACTTCTGGAAAGGCCACTATCATGGAAAAAAAGTATATTGCAAAGATTTGCTCTATCAGTCGTGTTATGAAGTGTCTGCTGGGGGCTGACGGCTTCTCGGGCAAACGCACAGCACAGATGTCAGGACAGCACACCTGGCTGCTGCTGCCGAGGACAGCGAGGCTCGTGTCTGCATGCGTGTGGCCATGCTTGTGGGACAGAGGGGGCATTTGCCAAAGAATAAATGCTCACCGGGCACCTCCTTGCCCCTGCAAGCTAACAGAAGTTAGTTGCCTCACAGTCGTCAGTGCCTTTGGAAAAGTTCCCTCTAATTCTTCATCCCAGACACACTGCCCCGAAAGTGTCCTGCTGTCTGTCTACACAAATTAGTCAGTCTCTGCATTCTTGTTCTCTACAGGACCTCTGATGTTGGCTGCAGCAAAACCTTTCTAATATTTCATCTCCTGTTATGACTCTCAGCTTTTTAGGGAGGCTGTACTTAGATAAGACACCAACTCAATTATTATGTGCTCTAGAGAGGGATTCATTTTGCCACTTCCATTCACCTGGCAGCATGTCCTTGACTTTTTTGAAAAGTAAAGAAGCAGTTACCTTTGTTTGCATAACAGCTGTTTACATTTTCTTTTTCATTTATGATGTTTGTTTAAGATGATACCTTATTGAATTAATTATCCTAAGATTCACTTGCCTGGAACTAGTTACTTCATTTTAACTGAAAGTAGAATTAGGAAGGTACACAATTAAAAAAGAGATTAATTCTGTCTTCTTTACACTGGCAAAATTCCCATGAACTTTTATTGCTCACTAGGAATTTTGCCTGAAAAAGGATCTTATAATCAAGCACTTCATTGCTGCAGATTACATTAAAGCCAAACGAGCACATACAGAATTCCTGCACATAAAGTCCAAAAATTAAGTGCAAGACACTCTTAGGTTTTAGCAATTCTGAGATTCATCATTGTTCCCAACCCCAGCCCAGGTAAAAACATTAAGCTGTATAAACATCCTTTTCTTGATATCTTGAGTCATATCTCTCTTCAGTTTTCTGTTTCTACTATGAATTTGAGGACCTAAGAATACAGAAAAAGTATTAAATGACCTAAGAATACAAGAAAAATACAAGACTACAAAAAAAGCCCCACTGAGCTTAATATTTAGTCCCTAACACTAGGGAAGAATACGAACTGAAGCAAGCGTGTTAGTGGTACTTGCTGCTGAAGCTGCTCTCATTCTGGGGGTTGGTGGCTTGAGGACACCTTGATCTGGAGGCAGAGTGCAAATTCCTTCACGATTTCCCTGTGAGGCAGAGATTTGCTGCCAAGGGCGATGGCAGCCCAGGGTGGTAGTGGCATGGGACCACTCCTCAGCTTCACCTGCTCTGTGGAATTGCATGCAGAAACCGCCATTTACCCCCTGTCATTTATGTATTTAGGCCCATTTCCAGAAGTAATCTAAGATCAGATGTGAATATTTTGGCAGCCAGCTTGAAATATCTGGGACTTAATTTTCAGAGGTGTCAATCTCCCTAGCCTGCACTGAGGTCCATGGGATACATGAGACCACGATGTCTCTTCAAAAGCAGCTCCTAAACCTCTGAATTTGGGCATTAGAAATGGAGAAACATGCAATTCATGCGTCTTTCTGAAATTATTGGAATTCGTTGTTGAATCCAGCTAAAACTGGGCATTTTTAAGAGTGTCTCTGTGAATATTTCCCTGGAAGTATGTCTAAAATTGCTGGGAGATATTTTAACTGTAATCCATGGGGAGCTATTGATGGTAATAAAAAATGCTGTGAGAAGAAAACAGCAGCCAGTGAAACTGCCCTCTTGGAAAGCCCAGGTCTGCTTTGAAGGAAGTGTTGATATTCACCATAAGCCTCAATCATTTCCCAGAGGGCTGTACGGTGCCTTGTAATGACATAATCAAAAAGTAATGGTGCTCTGGACTTCAAGGAAAAAAAAAAATGAAAAGCAGGGCCTGATCAGTCTCCCATTGAAATCAAAGAGGATTTTGCTGTTGACTTCAGTGAGAACAGAGTTCTGGACACAATCTGTGTAGAGTTTATTTGCACATTTGCTTATCCAAATGATCCTAACTTTAACCAATAGCATGTCTAGATGTCTGTCTGGGAGTACGCTTGTACAGATGCATAAGTGTGAGTTTATAATGTGGTTTAATTCAAATTATTCTGGCATTTCAAAAGCATTTCCAGCTACAAAGGACAGCTTTAGCTGATTTCCACTCCAGAACACAGACTTTCATGGGTAAAGTTTGGAACTCACATTTCAGGCTGCAATTCATAAACAGTTTCATGCAAGCTAAGGACACAAGCAGATTTTGCATTTGGGGGATTAATTTTAAAATGATCTTACTATGCACTCAATTAAAATTTTGTAGCCATTATTTCAAAATGTGAAAACTCTACAAATTACAGAACCCATCATCTCTGGTCCTTCGTTTCCTTGAAGGGAAATTTCTTTGATGACCAAAAGAAAATTGCAGTAAATGGCAAGTAAAATTGCCATCACAAGTCTGCTGAAAATGCAGGATGAACTCCTGATTGCTTTAGTCATGTGAACAACCCCTTCAGAACAGCCCAAAGTCAGACAAGGTGGCTTACACCAGGAGTTAATTTAGCCTGCTGGGACTCTTTGCATTACTAAAATGAGCATGATTTTGGCTTGTAAATGGGGGGTAGAATTTTATTTCACTTTCTGAGGGGCATACATCCATTTTAGAGTAAGCCTTTCAGAATAAAAGTTTACTTCACATTATAGGAATTGACATTCCTTTTTTAGATTTCCCTTTTCAAAGCATGCCTCAGCTTTCTAACTTGTAGCAGAGAGCTTTTGTATAAGTCATAAAAGTCTTTAAAATTAAAACGCTAATCGTAAACAAACCCAAATGCATAAAAGATACAGTCTGACTGCATAACAAAAGAGAATTATATAATTCTATTTGAGTGAAATCTTTCATCTTTGATTTACAGGTTTGAGTCTGCGTATAACTGAAAACATATTGTTCCATATCTTTCCTATCATGGCCTTCCCCAAAATCTTGTTTTAATTAAGGTTCCTTTCAGATTTCAGAATAAAAAGCATGACAGTCTTCACTTATGGCTTTAATATACCTTGTGACTTTGGAAATTACATAAAAATGAACATCACTTTCTTTTAAAAGCTGAGCGAGATATCATATACTGCAAGTTGAATACTTCAAGGTATCTCCCGGGTTTCATTAGGTGAGAAAGTTGTAAACAAAACAAAAGTTGCTGTAGCAGAGTTTTGTTCATTTGAAGTAGTCTTACATACATGCCCTATCTCTTTCTCTGACAGTAAGGCAACACGTGTAACAGTTTAAGCGTTCATTATCAGCTAAAGGCACAACTCTATGTTACGTTCTCAAACATGGAACTGAACAGCTAAAGTCACATTGCAGGGAGATCTTGCCGCACTTTGGGGATCTGAAACAAAGCCTAAACCATTTGAAGTTTCTTAAGCAACGTCAGTTCTCTCGGTGCAGGACTACATAAAAGAGCCAGCTCCTATTCACATGACGACCTGTAAAAAACACCCCCAACACAGCCTCCACAGAAACACCCGAGCTTCAGATGAGCTGCAGGCAGTTACTGAAGATCACCGCGCTTAGAGTCGGGACGCAGAAGCATTTCAGAACAAACTGAAAACACATTTGAAAAACCATCAATTTTTCAGAGACTACTTGATCTCTGCTGCACATCTGGTGAGAGCTACTGTCAACTACGGAGGGTACAGCACTTTTTTTAAAGACAGAAAATCGCTCGTTTTAGAGAACCGTGAATGGGCTTTTATGATAGAAAAGATTACATGAAATGTGGAGGGATGGTTGGGAAAAGGGAAAAGAAAATAAAGCACCACCAAGCACAGTACTTCAGGGGATTTATAGTACAGTAAGAAGTGCTTTCCCTTTAGCTAAAATGCCTTATTGTAATTTACACACCTTTCGCTTATTCAGCTAAGAACTCATTAAGGGGGTTAAAAAATGGCATGTAAAATAAATTTCTTTTCATTACACAGAGCAAAGAAAACAAATTCTATTAACATTTTAACACAGTATGAAAAAAACTACCCAGTAAAAAGCATCAGAAAGTGATTCATGGAGTTTACCAAGTATTTGGCTGGCTGTTGCAATTCTCGTATCTATAATCTATCATGTAGAATTTTGTAATACTCTATTTCACAATTTATGTTGGTGGGCGGGTTGAACAGCATATAAAAAGCATGCTCTAGGCTCTTTCTCCCAAGCCTGCTTTTCTGTAACTCTAGAATTGTAGCGGTTACATTTAAGGAATCTTTAGGGCCCTTTCAAGTCCATCCAAAGAACAAGTGAAGTTGCTATTCAGAGTTTTGTGCCCAGTGTTTATGTTCCATCTGATCTGTGCCACCCAAGCAGCAGACAAGACATGTCTGAGGGTGCTTTGGGGGGATACACAATGATGTCACCCACAGGAAATATCAGGGAGGACTTGGCACTTCACAAGGCTGGCTCTTCTTCCATGGGCTCGCCAGCAGCTCTGTAAAAATAAACAGGCAATCAGAATACGGCACAAGAGTACACAATGACATTGTAGATTTTCATGCATAATCAAAGCTGATTTTTCAGCGCTCTCTGATGTTTATTTGTGTTATTCAGTTATCCATAAATAGAGTTTCTTTCCTAGGAAGTATAAACAAATGTCAAGTGGAAAAACATTTTAGATCCAAGCAATCACTGCAAATGTTCCTGTTTATATTAAAATATGTCAGAATATTTTATAACTTTTTGTCCAGAAATGTACATGCTTTGTGTCAACAGAGTCAAATAATTTAATGAAAGAAATAGCTGTGATACTTTTATTTTACAAGCTTTTGCAACTAAAAATACATGCATTTATTTTTTTCAAGTGGGCCCGTACCATTAAAGTGAAATAGCTCACTAGTCAAGTAGTTAGCAGTGTTTCTTCTGGGGTTCTTCTTCTGTCCTCTGATTTTTGATTCTGTGCTTTCACAAATGCATTGCCTGCCTGCCTGCCTGCCTGCAACTTCTGAGACCAGATTCTGAACTCAACCAGCAGATCACCATCATATAGAAGGTATCTATTAATAATATCCAATCAGATTATACATATATCTTTTATTTGAAAGCCTCTGGGAAATATTCAGCTTAGGCAAGAAGACCTCTTTAATACTTCCAGTAAGAAAACAGTGGGGACATACGTTGAGCTGGCGGAAAGTGTCATGATTTCTTGTATCTGACATGCTACCACACCTGAGGATTATGCTGGCAATTATAAAATGGGAAGCTTCTGGGATCACAGTGACACTTCACTGTTGAAGGGATAAGAGTTTGGTCACAAACCTTTTTTCACCTCAGTCTGGCAGAATACCATATCACAAATGAGCTTAAGATGTCCTTAAAAATAGTCACTTCAAGCAATTTTGAAATGAGGGGAGAGTAAAAAGTAGATGCAAATTAATAAATGAGACATTTACCAGTTAAATCTTGTAAGCCAGTGTAATAACTGGCTTCAGTAAAACACCCCTCAGAAAGTACAAACTCATGAGAACCCATGGAAAATAAAAGTAATTAATGAGGTCTTGCATGGTCTCTGGTAGTTTATTCAGCAAGGAAGCCAGAGAATTTTAAATGAATCTGGAGTTTATTAAAGTCTTTCCTAATGAAGGTTTCAGCAGTGTAACTTTAAATGATTTTATACAGGTTATTCCTTTGCCATTTGAAAGGATCACAGCTAGTACGTTGAAAAATGTCAGATGAATGATATACGAAAAAGAAGATGTTATTCAGACTAATCGCTTTCCAAAGGGTTATTGACCCTAAAAGATTATTAATCTATAAATCTCAAATCTTTTGTTCCTCACCACACGGTGGAGAATGTTTCCTATGTACAGTAACCACTGCAGCTCCCTCATTCCTGAGAGGTGAGGTGAAGCCCTCTTGCATTCCCTCTTTTTCCCCCTCTTGCATTGTTCTGGCTTGCACCAGAGACCACACAGTGACAGCCAGGGTGGGATGGAGCCCAACCTGCTGCTGAGGCCCTCAGGTGTGATAAAGGATCACAGACTGGGTGGGGAATTAGTACTGGTGGAGTATGTTGCTGTTGTGCTGACCACACGCTTCCACTTTCTCCAGCCACTTTTGGAAGACCTGCATGTCCTCTGGCATAATGTGAAAGCGCAATAAGGCCTCATTAAACACTCAGGACCTTATGGGACTTTCTGGAAAGAGGATAATTTGGAAGCAGGTAACAGTTCAGTTTTTAGATTCTGCTGTGAGTAAGGGAGTGAGAAGAAATATTTGTCAGTAGATTTCAACTGGAAGTTGGCAGAATGGGAAGGAGTGGAGCTCTGAAAAACCTCTGGAAGTGAAGGTAGGGGTCTGGGTTATTTATAAGGATCTAGGGAAGCAGTATGTACAACTGTCTGTCCACATGTATTTGGCTTCTAGGGCTGATATTCTCATGACCGTAACACAACTAAGAGATGATCTTATGCAGGGTTTTAGTCCTGGGCAATTTTTCACTGACAAGGATGTATCTGAGTGCCAGGACTGACCTTGAATGCTATATTCTAATATATTCCAACAATATGCCAATATTCTGCATCAGCCAGAGCCTAAGCACCAATACAAATTTTTGTATGCAATTGCCAGATGCAAGGTCCTTTTCAGAAAAGAAGAGGAGGTTAGGGTGTTCTGGTGAATCCAGCTGTTGTCTCTCAGCATGGGTGCTCTCACAGCCTTCTCCAGTCTCCTTTTGAAGATTTATGTGTATGCTTTAACTTCATTTTATTAGTGTCAGAGTATTCACTGGATCTAGCCAACGGCTTATCATTTAAAACACACATTTTTATGGGATAGTGGCTTAGGCCAGAGTTTTGTGTGAGAGTTAGTAAAGTTTTAGGGCCCTTAGTACGGAGAGAAAAACTGTAGTCCCATAACACCGAGCAGTGAATCAATATACATCCATTCTGCCGAAATCAAAAGTTCTCTCAAAAAGTCAAAAAGGGCAGAGTCTGACAGGCCAAATTTATGTTACCTCAGTTATGTCATTGCTAGTTACATCAGTTCAGTCAGTCTTCCTGTAGCTGACAAGAAGCTGGCATAAAAACACAAAACAGGCAAAAATCCCACCCTGTACTGTATGCTCTGACTGGCTCCTCAGAGGTGCAGCTGTGAGCTTGGGTTTGAACTGGACTGATTCCGTGCATTCAGCAGATTCAGAAAGATACCAGCTGGGGCTGTAATGATTGTAGAACCGCAACTGTGATTTTTCATCAAGGCTTCTCTGTGGCGCAGTTAAACTGCAAGTTCCTAGGAGCAGAGCACTCTTGCATTCACTCTGTTTATTTTGGTGTGCCAGTAAGAGTGCTCACCTATAGCTCTCTATATGTGCAACACACACTATAGCAGAATGAAGTAGTCTCTTTGCAGTTAACACTAAACAAAATATTTCAGTTTAAACCTTGCAACAAAACAAACAGATGAGGCAAAAATCCTATCATATGGATAAAATCTGGCAAAACGTGTGACATCTTAAGTATTGTTCTGTAGCAGTTAAGAATAAACGGCAACCATATTATTTATGAGAATATTATTTAAAATAGTTCATATCTACACTTTAAAAAAAAGTTAATATTTAAGAATATAAACCCTGTACACCATCCAAAAAAGTAAAAGTTTCTCTTACCTTATTTTTAAAATTAGGATTACAGAGATTCCTCATAGCTACACCATCACACATATAAAAATAAAAATTCAAGGTATGTTTCCAAGTCACAGAAACTGCTGAACAAAAGATAGGTTTTTCTGGCGTGGCATGGCTGTTTTTTGCCATAATCTGTTCCTAATTTAACTCAGCTGTCTCAAGGAAGATCATTGTAATTGAAAAGTGATCCTCTGGTAGCAGAGAGCTGGGGAAAAAGAGGTACATTTCTATACCATGGAGATGATTCGCGGAGTGTCTGAAGACATCATATAAGAGATCCTGAGTAAGTGTATATCCTAGTAAAAACGGACTTTGTATGGATCAAAGAAAAAGGAACTAAAAGTAAAAACCATCAGAGTTTAAGAGCAGAATAAAATATCTACACGTATACTCTCAAAAGAGGAAATAATGTCAAAATAAGGAAAATTAAACAGACTATAAACTCTGGCAAGTTAAATCTAAACTCTCAATGAGGCAGGCTAAAGCAGAGTCTGAAGAGCAACATGTTAAAGGAATAAAAACTACTAACAAAAAGATCTTTCAAAATACATCAGAAGAAATGATCAAAGCATGAAAGGAGCATCAAGGAAGGTAGATCGCAAAAGCAAAATGAACTATTTATATCTGTACTCACTAGAGAAGTGTCAGGGAGATTTTATTATTTGCAGATGAACTATCTTAAACTGAATCAGCACTAGAACAAACTGATATGTTAAACATTGCCAAATTGCAAAGAGCAGATGATATTTGTCCACTGAGTTCCAGGGGAACACAATTATGATGTTGCTAAAGAAATAATTATTGAGGGTAGTCTACTGTTTAAGTCAGCATCCACCTAAGAGGTAGAGAAGGTAAGAAATGCAATTGCCCTTTTGGAAACTACAGGAGGTACAGTAAGCCTGTATGGGGAAACTCAAAGCAGCTATAATCAGTGATTGAATTAGTAGGCATTTAGGTAATAGGAATTTGGGTAAGAGTTATGTCTTAACACTTGCAGAGAAAGCAAACCTTACAAATTTATTAGAAGTTTCTGAAGGAAAGGAACGAAGAGGGATAAAGTGATATGTCTGTGCAAAGAAAGTCTTCCAACAATTTTATCCAAATACTCTGAGGAACCTAAGTTATGAGAGAAGGTCCTCTCATAGATTAACAGTCCATCAAAAGTAGGAAACGAATAATAATATTGGTGAATTTTCACCATGGAGGGATTCTCCAGAGCAGCTCAAAAAGACTTGGCAGGCTACCAGTAGATTTAGGTGAGGATGTTTGTTGATGACACCAAATTACCAATACTAGTCAGTTCTAAATCCCATAACACCATTTCTAATTGGAAAAGAAAGTTAACAAACACAAACTAACACACAATAAACAACATAGGGGAGAGGACAGGTTTAACTGTTTATAGACAGTGATGGATATGACTGGGAGCTTGGAGTTAATGGTAGAAGAGCAGAAAGCACCAGAAACAAGAAAAAATCCCCAACATTAAGCTGTTATGTAAATTCACAATGTGCCCAGCACCTGGAGTCCTGTATGCAGTTCTTACTCCATCTCAAAGAAAAGTACAGAAGGCACAGAGAGGGGCAGGAATCATCAGAGGTTAGAAAACATTTTCATCCTAGGCGGTATACAGAGTCTTGAGACAGCTGAAGCCTTTAAAATCAGAAATGGGATGGAGACTAGGAGTAAGAAAAGAGCTGCTTTTATTTCTCACAATGCAAGAACTAAGGATTCCCCAGTGAATTTATTGATTAATAAGTTCAGAGCAAAGAAAAAGAAGTGCGATGCCTGATGAGGCTCTGGGATTCATTATCTGAGTGCCTAAGGTGTAAGTCCGTTCGAAAAAAGCTTTGAAAAGTTTTTGTCTGGGTAGGTATGCTGGAATCTTTTACACAGGACGGATCAGATACAGCTGTTGAGATCTACCAATTCACCAGGGCTCTCAAACTCCTCTGCTCCTGATTCTCTTCCTTCTCCACCCACCACCGGCAGACGAGAGGAAGGTGGGCAAGATAAGGCTGCAGACTGACCTGGGGAAGATGTTCTTCAGCTCCTGAGCCTGCCCGTTATTGCACATCCTGTGGGGTATGGCCAGGTAGGTGCAGGTCACTCAGCTCAGCGGAGGTGGGTACACAAATAGTGAAATGTTAAGTGAAGCTTTATGAGATGACACCCAAACACAGCAAGTGACCCTAGATGGTAGCTAGTTGTACCCATGGTCCAACCAGTTGCTGTGGTATATAATACAGTGTATGTAATGTAATGCAAAGTCACTGAAACTGCAACTGGTAGCTCTGTAACACGAAGAGTAATATCTGAAAATTACTCTTTGTTTTCGTTTCCATTTGAGTAAAATCTATGCCTAGCTGAAAGAGGGCCATAAAGTCAAATTCTGATAAATGTCATTCTCAAGCTTTACTGTTTGCTGTAAAAATAGTAAGTACAGGAGATGTCCCTCCACGCCCTTTTATTTTTCCATTTTAAGAAGAAACATACAGAAGCTCCACTGTATCAGGGATAACACTGTACTGAATATTTTTGTAGCAAGATTTCTAGAGCAGATGTCTAGCTAAAGCAAAATTCTAATCAGCTAAATCTGTATCTTAGATAGGGAATAAGCAGTTATCAAAACACATAAGTTATGGGAGTTAGAAATATTTTATAGGGCATGACTGTTCCTTTAATTGCATCTCTATTTAAATCTGTGTTAGCATCATGCATGTTTTCTTTCCTATCCACAGACTCTTTTTTCTATATCTGTTCTCTTCTGAAGTCTATAATCAAGTTTCAATTCGATCTTAAAATGCAGAGCTGTGCTTTGGTAAAGTAAAACAACAAAAGCATAGCAGCTTTTCACAGTTTTCTTCATTTAGCCTGCCAGAGAAAATCAAATAAAAAAATAATCGGCACTGTCACTTGAAGAAAAGAAAGAAAGAGAGAAGAAAGAAAAATACTTAAGATGGGCTTTAGCCAGGAGCATTTTATCCTTTATTCATCAGTGGCAAATGAGTCAGATATGAGTTGGCCAGGAAAAGAGCTGCTTTACCCAAAATCCGAGTTTAAAGTGAGTCATCTCACTCCAAACACCAATATATCCTCCAACAGAACTGGCAAGAGTTTCCCGCAGAGAAATTCTTGCTGCCGCTCTCTTCATCTGCAGGCCTGACCATCCAAAGCTGAAGTCAACAGGATCTCTACCATCAGTTCATCGAAACAGGGTTAGAGATGCAGCCCAGAATTATCAGCCTGGTTGACCATGGTGGAAAATAAGGGAAAGTAAATCAGCTCCTGGTATAATGAAGGAACCCTTCAGGCTGCCCTGTCAGCCATGGTGTTTTCTGCTCTGATCCTGCCCTACCCGTCACAACCAAGTTTCCCAAACAAACACTCAATGAAAAGGCTTGCAACAGGTCTTCAGAAGGTGGCCCCCATCTACAATGGGAGGAGGAGGGGTACCTCTACAGTGGCCTTTTCTAGAGGGCTTGAGAGCGCAGATGAGTTCTCCTGTCCCTACAGCCCTGTTGTTTGCCATAGAAAGGGTGTGGAGAAGGTTCATTGCATACTTGGTCCTTGATTACAACAAACATAACAGATGTGAAAAAACAAAGTTGGACTTATCACTACATTACTGCAGTTTGTGTTGGTGTGTGCCTATGAAATGTACAGCATGTTTTCAGGAAATGAATGAAATAATACTGGCACGAAACAGAGTGTGCAATGTTGAATCAGTCCCCGGATTTATGATCCTGTGCTGGACTTTCATTCGTGTTCAAAGTGAAGCCGGGTCCTCTCAGGTCTCCCCGCAGCTCAGAGGCCCCTCGAAACCAGACCTTCAGGGTGACCATTTCTTTTTCCATATTTCTCCTTACATTTTTTAACTATCAATTATGGCCCAATGGGACAGCACTTCTGTTCTCTTGTTGCTTTCTGATGGCAATCTGGCTTCAGGTGACTTCTTTGTGGGTTACGAATGTGGAAACAGATTTAGGAATCCGTGCTGGCATAGGTGTGGTTTTTTTGCGCTGCTGAAAAATCTCTGCAGCACCATAGCAGATATTCAAACAAAGCAATTTTTCCACAGAACAATTCATCATGATGGATTCATCCCTAAAAGAGTTCAGAACTGATGAAGTGTAATGAATCTGGCAGCCACGTGAATTCCACTTGTGTACATTTTAGCACATCCATTTTTTTTCATTTCTTTCAGCTCCACCCTCAAATTCTCTTTTCAGAATGGGTGGAAACTGTCACAGGTTATCAGCAGGTAGGTAATAAATATAGTAATTAAGTGCAGCGTTAGCCAAAGGGCTATTTTGTTAAAACCATGTAAGATCAGCAGTTGCTCTCAATGGCTGTAGTTTTAAGTGAGTGGAGGTGCATAAGAAGTACAATTCTTGGTTATTCTGAGCAATGTAAAAATACACAAAATTAACCACACCTTTTTAAAGACAATTAAAAGCTTTGCTTTGTTTGACTGCATTAGTTCCAATACTTCAACTAAAATTCTGTAAAATTCAGACCTATGTACATGTGAGCAGGCACCCTTCTGTCCTTGGCTAGCAGAAGTGTCTCGTAACTGTCACAAGTTTATATGACAAACCTTCCATTATTTCTTAGCTGAGCACTGATTAGCACTCTCACAAATCCAAAATATGTCTGCCGTTCATCATGGATTCCTCCCTAAGTTTTTATGGATTTATTTGCAATAATACTAGCACAACAATAACCATAACGTATTAAAATATAATTACAATCGGAAAGGTAATTACGCAAACGGTGTGAACTTTACTAGCTAGTTCTGCTCCCTGTGAGTCCCTTTGAGCCATGCCTGTTAACTCATCGACAGATGAGCCCACCCACTGTTGTGAGAGACTTTCCCTCCCAAACGGATTCACAGCTTTTACCACTGCGCTATGCCCCCGGCTGCCTATCAGTTCAGTTCTGATTAACAGAGCCGAGGTGGGAGGCAAAAACTGAATCAGACAAGTAGCTGTCACAATGTAGGAGCCATGGATCTTTCTGGCTGCACTCCCACCACTGTTCTGCCTACCCACAGCTCCCTCCTTTCTCTTCTGTCGTTACACAGCTCTGCTCCACAGCCCGCAGGGAGCTGATGAGGCTCCTTATAAGGCTTTTTTCTTCTTTCCTGCTCCCTCTCCTGTTTTCTCTGTGTGATGGAAACCGAATGGTTCCACTGCATATTGGGTCTTCCTCTGTTGGAGAAGACCAGGAAAGTTTGTCCTTAAAATGAATAAATGAGAAACTCGAAGAACATCTGCAGTGGCTTTTCTGAGTCCTAACGACTCATTGAAGAAATATTATTTTGTAGATGACACAGTATTCAGTGGCTATGAGTTTATTTCATCGCTTATTGGCAAAACAACCGACAGCAGTTACTGTATCATTTTCTCAATTTGTGAAATTGTAAGCAGTCTTCATTAATGTAAAAAAGCATCTGGCAATCTGGAAAAAAACAGCATTCTCATTCTTTGCTGGTGTACCTTCAACTTGGTACACAGAAAATGTTGGCCCGGATCCTGGTCAGGATTGCTTTAAGTTTTATACTGGCAATGTTCCATTGCTTCCAGGGAAGTAACTTTTAATACCTGGCTAATATCATTAAATAATGATTTAAGTCCATATTTATGAAATTTATCTGACCGCATGTTAAATGCCTTCCTAGAAAATTAAAACTAAAACAGGTTTGAATATCTTCCAATGAGAAGAATATGGTTGATTACACTTGATCATGTCTATTTTTCCTAATATGGATATTGCACTTTTTATGTAGTACAGGGCATCAGATGTGGGGAGAAAACAAGTTTCTTGTACTAATCATGAACTTTAGCAAAGAATTACATATACCAAAAAAATACCTGCTGGCTTAGAATTACTCTGCTTCCAGCAGCCAAGTGAGAGAACTCTAATCCCGGGATGAAAAATTGCAGGTACTTCAATTAGCCGTTAATTATGAAACCACCCTTAATCTAGCTGTCGTCTTCATCTCGCTTGACTGGAGTGAAAGCCTTGTTCTCTGCGATAATCACACACGCTTACCTGCTGCCTTCCTGAGGGATACACTGCTCGACATCCACTGAAAGAGAGGCCATAGCAGATACTGTTTCTGTCTCCTCCCTCTCTCGTTTCTGAGACTCCGCCAGAGCACAATCCACTGGCACAGAGTATGGCTCCACTGACTTCCAGTACTTGCCTAAGGAAAACACACATAATAATTTATGGGAATTTTAGCTAGCATGGTGGTACAGGCATAGTAATCACTTAGTTCAACACTGGGTGATTATAATTTAAAATCACTGTGGTGTAAGCAGTACAGCTGAAATTTCAGACTGCAGTGAAGAGGTATATTTCCGAACCTAAGAATGCCAAGTTGGAAAGTGCTTTCATTCCAAGGGCTGTGTCACACCCTTCCCCAGAAGGTAATAAACTGGAGGAGTAACACATAGGCTAATGAGCTCATACTGTCAGACAGGCTATTTGCTTTATCTATGCAAGGTGAAGGGAGTTCGGGGCAGGGTTAATACCTAGAAGCTCTAATATGGCAGACAGTTGATGCATATACGGCAAATAGGACTAGAAAAATGAACATTGTTGTACAAAGTGCTCACACAGCACTGTCTTGAAAGGGAAAAAAGTCAGAAATGCCAGCTCGGACTGAAGTGATGTTGCCAGAACAATCAGGTTTGTTAGTCCTGGATGTTCTTTCTCCTCCAACCTCAGGGCGTATACTAGAACAATAATTTATTTAAAACTTTCATATATGAAGTGGCTGTTGCTGGAAAGCCGCCAGATATCATAAGGAATAGAGCTTTCTGGTTTGCTGTGTAAAAACACAGCAGTGGATTAAAAGCATGAGTAGTCTCAGCTTTCTGCCTGCAACAGAAGAGACAGTAGTTTTTCAAGCAACGCAGCCTATAATGGCAGGTGACTCACCATGAACATATAAAATGGTCTGCTACTGCAGTGCTATTAAGAAAAAGAGGTTGATTAGTGGTAACCAGCTGAACAAGTAAGGATTTACATATGTATTTCTTACAGTCGAGCACTCACTAATTGCCAGGTGGATGGCACCTGGAAGTTAGAAGCTTTGGGAAGGCTACAAGCTCTGGACCAGGGCTTATTCAGTCTTTCGCAAGAAGCTTCCAGCAGCTGCTGCAGAGGTTGGTTCAGGGTACTTATCTGGGAATTAGACGGAGGGTTTCAACAGCTGTGAAAGAGAGGGGATCAAGTAAGGGACTTTTCTGAGGGCTAAAAGGAGGACTTTGGCAGCTGGGCAGTGGGGTTGAGTCGAGGTGCTTATCCAGAGGGTAGCTGGAGGCTTTGACAGCTGGGAGGCCAGGCCAGCGGTGGGGCTGCCTGTGCTGCACAAAGACTGCAGAAAACCCCCTCTTTGGTAACACAGCTCCCAATGCAGTTTCAGGCTTTTCGAAAGATGGACTTTTTCCTCCAGTGAGAAAGCACCTGTCAATAAAGCCTGAAAATGTCTTTATTCAAAAACATCATTGCAAAATGAAAGCCCAAGTCAATCTGCAAGAACAACCAGCGAGCATGGCGAACGTGTTTCTTTGAACACTAACAGTGTGCACATTTGAGTAGTTAGCAGAATCTTTAAATAACAGGGAACTTCTGGGGATAAAATATAAAGTGTATTAAGTATCCTACAAAGTTGAGATTAAGTGTTAGGAGGTTGGCTTTGCTCCAAAGGCATGAAAGACGCAGCTAAAAAGTTATGTACATAACAGTAGGCGCTATGATTGGAGCCTGGCAAATTTTACAAAAACAAGACAAAAATATTCTCTATTATTACTGTGCTCAGAGACCATATTCTCTATTCATTAAAAAATACACTAAAAACAAACTAAAAAATTATATGAGCATTCCACAATGTTCTCACAGATCACATGTGCAAAAGTCGGTCTTTGCAATATACACCCAATTCAAACCCTATAATTTATGAGCTAAATGCTCGCAGAGTGGGTGGGGTTTTTGTTGCAGAAACAGATGTGTAAGAAAATCAAATCTGTTGGCATGGGAGTAATACCCCCTCTTGCCTATAAAAGAAATGAACCCATGTTCACTGCTGGAGTTTTCAAGGGCTCTTATTCATAAAATAAAATATTAGCACCCAGCTACCACTGTGTTGCTCTCCTGCAGCAACAATAAAACAGCATCATTGAGGATTGCTACATCGCATTCATTCATTCACACACACAGGCTCGCACACCAGCTGCCCCCTGAATCCTGACTTTCTTGTAACACTAAAACTCAGGGCCAGTTCAAGCTTATTAGTGAGCTCCCTGTGCCCATTTAACTGCCCTTCACTCCCAAATGGTCAGTGATTTTCCTTGTTTCCCTGCATTGAGAATTGTGTTATTAGAGGGGCTTCAGTGATGAAGAGGGAGAGCAGAGTCAGGCCAGAAAGCAGGTGGCGGCACCTACGCTGCAGTGGAGGTTCTTGAAGGGGACTACATGGCAGGTGTTTGAGGTTTATGGGAGGAAATTTTAAAGCAGTCACAATTAGGAATAGCATCCAGGTAGCAGTAGGTACCTGATGCAAAGAGAGCTTCTGATGTTTGTGAAAAGCAATGCTAGTTTTCTCTTTAAAATCAGAAAGCTGTACCTTACAAACACCTGTGGTAAGCACGACAGCTTTGCAAGTTTCTTTTTATAAAGAACATTTGTATGTTGTGCACAAAACATACAGGCCTTGCATGTGTGCTCAACCTGAAGATTTACAGGCAAAGTCTTGTGGAATGGAGGGGCAATCACAGCAAGCAACTGCAAAGAATCTTTGCTAGAAACCCCAGATATGCTGTGGATTGACAATCAAATGAGCTCAAAATGCATCTCACCTAAACTGCTCACACCTCTGAAAATGCCCTATCTACTGTGATATGCTGGAATGTGAAATTCTACCGGTCCTGTTACGTTCATTGAGAAGAACTTGGTGGAGCTCAGGGGAAAGAATGAAGCATACTGCTAGCTTCATTCATACAAAACTTGAAGAGCAATCACGACTTGCAAGAACAAACAATGAAACCAAATCAATCTTCTAGGTATGCTTTGCTTTTCAGCATGAAAATGTGCCTAGTCTCCCTCAAAGATTTGCGGGAGCAGTGATTATTATCAGGAAATAATAAAAGCGAATGTTTTTGTCACTGTTACAAGCATTTGTAATTGCCTTTCACAGATAGATTTGGACATGCTGTACCATGGTTTGCTTGAAAAAAACCAGTTTGGGGGTGGTATTCAAGCTAGTGAACAGGACTGTTTAGAAATAGCATATTACATGGGTGTGGGAACTACTACTTCCAAAAGTATTACATTACCAAAGGAGATGTGGATCACTGTCACAAAATTTATACAAATTCCATTCTACTTAGAAAAAAGTTGTTTCCTCTCATTGTCTAACTAAATATTCTATCGTCAATCTTTTTCCAGCAAACAGAGAGGAGGGACTTTTTTGTCTAAAATATTGCTAACATTCATTCTCAAAGTTGAATCACAGATACGCTGACTCAATATATATGTAAGCAATCATCTAAACAAATCAGACTTTCTCAGTATTTCTCAAGGCGTTACCCCACAGCCTAATGCTTTTCAGCCTGCATAACTCCCTATTATATTCAACATGTACTTGCTTCTCTTAATTACCTCTAAATATGCATTCTCCATAAAGCTGCACTAAACTTCCTCAATGCTCCTTTCCATCCTCCAAGCATGTTCCTTTCTAATACTTGGTGTCTTTCTAGACAAATTGAGATATGGATAACCCTTTAGGTAATAGCTTCAAGAAAAGACAGAATACTGTGTAGAAATAACTCCAAACCCCAAGTAGCCCAAGTTTGGTTTCAGAAGAGCCCACTGGACTGTCGTGACTGTACCAGCCCAGCTCAGACGTAAGCTTGTTCTGAAGTAGCAAAGTTAAGCCACTCTGTAGAGCTCTGATCTATGTTTTTAGATGCACGCTACATATTTGTTTCTAAAATCATTCCTTCTTTCTGAACTGCCATCATTCATGTGTATTTCTGTTAAGACACTATGCCTTTCTGGAGCCAGATTTTTTTTTTTCTTAATTCACCCTTTTTCTTTTCAGATCCATTTTTAAATATGTGTCTTATTTCAAACAGAATTGCATATTCTTTCTTCATATCTGTGGCCTGTGTGCAGCTTTCTGTGCTTATTATCATTTGCAAATCTGCTCTATCTTGCATAGTAGATGAATTTTCCTAACTTGCTGATTCCTTCCAGATCATTAACATGGAATTTTAAGGAAGATACTAACTCACAATCTGCCCTAGGACATACCACCCAGCAAAAATGACTTACTGGAATTTATCGTGTACAGCTGATATACTTAGAGCATTTCCATATCTGGGTGACTACCAGATATGAGGGATGAATTATATATACCTATGATGAGTTTTAATTGTCACTTTACAACTAAAATCAGATTGATAATTACTGCATGATCAATGGATAATGCATGGTGTCCCTTTTAAAAACTGCATTTATTTTATACAGCTTAATCCCAATTATTTGTGATTCATCTAACATGAAGAAAAACATTTGTTCTCCATTTGTTTTTGTTAAGGAGCCAGCAAACAGTAGAAGTCAGGAAGCTCCCACTGCCTCAGTAAATGGCAGAAAGCAGAAGATTAGAGAATTTAAGGGAAAACTGCTCAGTTGGATTAAGGCAACTGATGGCAAAGAGAAAATTTTTGAATGAGACCAGAGTAAATGCCATAAGGCATCTGGGCTAGTAAAGGGTTGGGGTCAGGGCACAGAAGTGAAGCAATCAAGCATTCTCTGCAAGAGAAACAGAATAAAATGGTGTATTTGTTAGCATTCTTCCATGGATCAGTGCCCATTTTGAGCCTTGGAACTTTATCTCAATCTTCTATACATCTCAAAGCAAGTAACTTGTAAAGGGCTGCACAAACAGAATCTGAATAAACTATTTGTTAGGGCTCTAATTTACCTGTCTGTTTCTGCCCCTCACTGACAAACACCTATTTGATCCAAGCTGCTCTGGAATAGAAAGATTTGGGAAATTTCAGGAATCAGAAAGTTCTAAATAATTTCAGTGGGTTAGTTTTTTGGGGCTACATACACAGCAGAAACAAACAGATGTCGAAGCAACAAAAATAAAAGCATATATATATATAAACACACACACTAGACACAGCATGTTGGTTTATACATAAAACATTTGCCTGTTCTTTTCTCTGAAACACTAATTTAATGTCTATGACCTTAATTAATAACAAAAAATACCCCAAACCCACCAACCCACTAACCCAAACTGAGAAACATACTTTGAATTTCAGTGGTCTTTTTTAAAGAAGCTATTGCATTCATATTGGGGATTTGGTGCACAATATCTTCCGGGAGAGGCTCCAGCTGCAAGAATAGAATAGAATAATATAAATTTTCAATAAGCCACAGGGAAGTAAAACAAACTGAAATAATCTAATCCTCAGGAAAAGCTCACCCCAAGAACTGGTTAACATTTTGCTGGTATCAGTTCTAAAAGTATAACCATGATTTTGTTTTCTGTTTTCCAGCCATGTAATTGAATTCCAAGGGGCTTTTCTATTGGCTGCAAGACTAATCTATGGAGTCTCTGAGGCAGGTGCATGTCTGTGTATTATTCATTAAAAAAATGCTAGTTATTTGTGTAATTTTTGTATGTTCCTTACAAACCAAATTCCACTGTGTCTGTATATGCAGCTGGGCACTCCAAACAAAACCTTGCTGAAGCCACATTGGAACCAAAGTGTGTACTCTATTATCTGTATTTTTCTGGTGTTATTACATCTAACCATCTTACACATTTTAAGATTTGTAGGGGAAAAACCATAAAACGCAACTGCTTTTACTAACTTTGCATTAATTTCAAATAAAGTAGTAGATAAAAAATGGTTATGCACATCAGCAGTAAGAGTTCTCTCAGTAAGTTTTTTGTATAGTCAGCTTCATTTTAATTAGTCAGTTTTAATCGTATATTCTTTGAGTAGGGCTGCATCATAGTGAATTAGCAAAAGGAATTTTCAGTTAGTGCACAGTTGGTTTTGCCCTACAACAATGGATAGATATGCCAAGTAAACAGTATTTTGAAATTAATCCACTCGTGCTTTTTTGTCCACCTTCCATACATTTTCTCCTAGAAAAAGAGTGAAAGATTGCTTGGGCTAAATGCGTCTTCTTATGCTGTAATAATGATATTCTCCTCAAACTATGCTTAGAGTCCAGCCAGTTTTTCCGCTTCCCTGCACAGGCTGCTAAGGCTGCTTCCTGTGGAGCCAGGAGTAGCGACGATGTCAGGGTAGACAAGGAAGAGCAATATCAACACCAATCTCTCTTCTCTAAAGCTAAGGAAGTTCAACCTTTGCTGACAGGAGACATCTGTACTGCAGACAAAACTCCTTTTTTATAAATGCCTGGGTCTACTTCAAACTAGGTCAAGTCAAGCCCACCCAAGGAGCTTCCTCTGCGAAGTTAATAGTTCAGTACCCATCATTTGTTGTCCTCTGGGTTGCTACCACTGCATTGCTACCCACCAACTAGATAAAATCAGCTTTGATCCAAGTACACAAAGTGGGAAGCAACTGCAGTGTAGATACTCCCTTAGTGGTGCTATTTTAAGCAAGCTCAGCTCCAAATCCCAGAACTTCTGGGATCTTACCATTATAATCAGCAGTGAATGCCTGTCAGTGATACAGACTTCGCAAATATCAGCAGTCTTTTGGAGTCCTGGTAACTAAAATGAATAGGGCTGTTCATGTCATTGTTTCCTTAGAATCCCATATGGGATTGCAGCTGGAAGATTTCCTTGTGGCTACAAACAATAGCGCTATGCTTTGTTTTCAAATAGCATAAATCACTCCACTCTGGGCAGTGAGCAAGTGTGCAGAGAAGTGCTGGGAGGACCTGACTGGGTCCCAATTCTACTTGGTTACCAAGGAGGCCAAACTGCATATGAAGATTGCTGCTATGTAGTATGTATCATGGATTAGAATGAAGAGAGCAATTACAATAAAAATAATATTTACAGATACATTTTCAATTCTTAAATCACATTCACTTCATGATCTTCATATGTTACCCTATTTGGCAACTCTTGCAGGTACCTGGGGGAAACTACTGTGTTTATGAAAATGCCCACCAACAGATCAAGCTTCACAGATTTTAGAATAATAATCCATATAATAATCTTAATAATCCATACCTCAGGCTATGTAGATAAATAGCACCTGCTTTTATCACCTGTTATTTTTTTTTTTTAAAGCAACCTGTCATTTGGCCAGGAAGAGGACAAAATCCCAAAGTTCTGTTTGGTTGTACTGTGTGCAGGAACACAGAAGGGGAAGCAAAAAGTAGTTTAAGGTTCTCTTTTGACAATTTCCTAATTCTTCAGGCTTTGACAACCAATTCACTCCCCCGAAGTAGGAGAAAATAGCTGCAGGCTAAAACAGTAGGAAGAACAGTCCAAGGTATGGAATTGACAGACTGCAAGATCTAGGAGCTGTGTCTTGCTTTGCCCTTTGAGTACCTTGAGATTTTTTCTGCAGACCTCTTGTACTAATTATTAAGCTGGGAGCAACTTATGTAGACATAGCTAGAGCAGATTTCCTATTAATAGGTGAATATATTGTTGCCTTCTTCAGAGTCGGATTTTTCCTGGAGCTAAAAAATTGTCTTGCTTTTTCCTAATATATCAGACATCTCTTTATTTATCAGTACAGAAATAAATTTTTTAACAAGTAGTCTACATTTTAATATCTAGACATTTCAGATGAATATTTAGAAATGGCATATGTGTTTTTAGAAATCAGGAGAAGTGGATGAATCATTAAAGAAAAGAAGAAAAAGTCAAATGTCTAACAATCATACCAGTCATTAGTCCTTCTGTTAGCTCTATTAACAGATCTGCAGGTGATGTGAGCATATTAGTCATGTTTGATCATTTCCCTACCTCTTTTTTCCACAAAACTTTCATGTTGTAACCCAAGCTTGACTTCTGCTCTGGAGTTGTTCTGCCGCCTCACTCTTAGGGATAGCCAGGCAGAACTTGGATCCTCTTCTATATCAGGGAAAACTTATCAGGCTTCAGAAGTAAGTTCATTACATCATATACCCTCTTTAGCCCAAAGGCAGTACTCTTACAAAAACACTGTAGAAATAAAGCCAGTGGCTTATGGCAGCTATTTCTATACACTTTGAAATGAGACCGTCTGCATTTGAAAGAACGGTTTCTGCTGGCAGCTATTGACAGGTTGGATGCAACTATATAGACATAGGGGTGTTCCTGGAAAATATCAGGAGTTAGACCCAACTGTGAACAAAAGAAATTACGCTACACCTGGCACATATGGCACCATCGACTTCCCTCCTACACTTATTGGCATTCAGATCTTGAAGTCTATCAAATTTGGAGGCTAACAGAAAGGAAGCTGAAAAGAGCACTGGAAATACACTGTCAGGAAAGAAATCTTTCAGAGAAGAACAGCTCAAGTCAGTGCAGAAATAACCAAACCACTGGAGAGACAGTTTGGACCAGACACAAATGGTCACATTTTCAAAGCTTTTATATGGCTAAATTGGGCTTTTGTGCCCGAAGTAGCAGACGAAAGTAGAAACTGTGTCCACTAATCATTTTCAAAGTAGGAAAAACAATGTAAATGGGCAAAAATCACTTGGGTCGCCAAAGTCTGCCAGCAGCGTATCAACAAATGTTTGAAGAAGGAATGGAAATTTCATGTGCCCAGAAGGTGATCTGAAATTGTCCTTGGGAACATGGACAGAATATGAAACTATAGCAGTCTGTACTGAGACTGAGCTAGAAAATCTAGAAATTCTAGAAATATCTGCATTGTTCTTAGCACTGTCCTGTCTTGAAACGCCAAGATATTCTTCAGAGAATCTTGCTGCAGAGTACAGTTCGAGAGAACTGAAAAGTGAGGCAATTGAGGGCATCAGGTAAAGAGCATGGAGGGTCATGACAGAAGCAGAAGAAGGGGAGGGGACAGGCAGGCTCCTCAAGGATTCCTAGGTTGCAGGAGGAAGTACTACAACCTCCCTTTCCCAGACAAACTGTGCAAGAAGCATATCGGCACAAAGACTGGGCCTTGGTGCTCTTAGGGTCGCCTATGATTACAGAGGACTAAGTTCAAAGATCTCACAGGTCCTCTCTGTTCTTATGTTAGTAATCTTCTCAAAGTTTCTGTGTTTTATGGTTATACATAAGCACTTTAAGTAGATATTTTTGTGATGCACTGTTACAACACGGTACACAAACGAGTCAGTTTTCAGTAAGGAATAGGTTCAAAGGCAGAAAGGGTCATTAAGACCTACTAGTCCTTGAAAAACAATGGATGACTTGGAAATATGTAACTTTGGAATCAGAATATTCTCTGTTTCCTTGGCCAAACCACTTCCTGACTAGCACTCCCTGCCTGAGGGACTCTGGTGTCACCATGCTGGCTGCTGGCACATACATTGCTTCATTTTCCTACTCCATCTAATTCTCTATTTCTGGGGCAATTTCTGGACTCTGAATTGATGCAAGCAGCAGCTGACAGGTGGCTTAGACTCGAGGTTAATGATTTACTAGTATGAGACTCAGATTAACAATGAGGATGTAAGACTGTGACCAAGTTTACCATGCAATTTAAAATTGATCTCAGGTCATATTCACTTCCATGACTATTTCCATTTTGAAGAGAGAAATGCATACCTGTTCTGGCAATAACCCCTTTTTAACGCAGTCCAGGCCCTCTTGGCAGAGCTCACTGCCTAGCTGGCGAGCTGCCCCAGATTCACACTGAATTCCACAAAGGAGAAAAATGCCAACTTCTCATCATCAGCAGG